CTATAGGTTCGTCGTATCTATATACAATGTTCGGAGCTGTAAATGAATCGTAATCGGAATTTTCATGATGAGTGAAATGTCTCGACGAACTCTTTGATGAGACATGTTTAATATGAGGTATTGCAGCGTCAGGAGTTGTAAATTTTTTCGTTCGATAGGACTTTAACGGTTGATTTATAGATAAAATTCCACTAGAAGATGAACGAGTTGAAGGAGCATCGAGACTTTGAGAGGGCGTATAAGCAACGCGGTGTGAGTTTGCTGCAGATGAACCAAAATTTTCATGCCACATTGCCAAGAATTTTTCACTGCTATCTTCAGCTGATTCGTCCCGTACTTCCGTTAAAGCTGTAGACTGTTCATCAGCTTTGGCGCCGTGCACCCCAGCCTCATCTTGCGTTGAGTACTCAGGCACTACGAACGATTCTGTGACATCTGATGCAATTTCACCCCTTCGCTCTATTGGGAACATCGTCATAATATTGTTGCTGAAATCTTCAAAGGCATTTTTCAAGTCCGGAACGTGAGACTTTGATGTTTTCTTAAACTCCTGTGTAAACAGTTTAGGGGGGATTTTGTTCACACGTGTCACAGTCACTTTTTGTTTGCCAAAGTCAAGATCACTCGAATCAGAATGAACTTTAGAAATTTTCAGATCAACACGATTTACAGAACGGGGGGTTACTGTACCGGAGAGATCAAGACTCCGAACAGGCAGCGCACCATTTTGCGCTGGCATTTTGATTCCGTTTATGAACAAATGATCAAGAACCTCGCTGCGAGGTGACGCTGAAGACGAATGTAGGCTCTTTTGCGTCTGCAAAACCATTTTTGCAGTATTGGTGTCATTTTTACCAGCCTCAGCTCGATGAAAATTACTCCCGGGAAAAGATAGAGCTCTGGAATTCCGGAACGACTTCCATATTGGGACACCAATATTGGACAAATTAACTCGAGTAAGATTTTTTCGAGGCAGCTTTGTTTTGAAAGTTGGGCTCTGGGAGATGTTTTTCTGTAAATTTAAATTTCTTGATAGGATTTCATTCGGCTTTGCAGGTAACCAGCCCTGCGAGTGAAATTCAGGAGACGGGATGAACTTTGTCAAATTTTTTGAGAAATTAAAATGATGTTCTGAGGAGAAAACATTTTCTCCCGAAGATCTCATTTCCTCATCTAGCATAAGTTTGACTGTAGAGAATAGTTGCACTCTTTCTTCACTGTTGCGCAGCCTTCTTGACGTTATATTTGTTGCGTTATTATGATCATCAGAATAAATGGCATGAGTCGATGAAACGCCCACCGTTAGATAAAGCACTGTAAGAAGCCACATTTTCATCTGAAAAAAAGTATAACAATCAATAACAAAAAAATCAGTTGCAATGTTCTACATGCTTTTTAATTGCTATTACAGGACTATTTGAATAAAGGCGTCAAATAATTCGAAATAATGACGACTGTATTCTATAACTCACTCTTTAAATAATTTCAAGCTTCAAAATTTCAGCACATATTTTCTTAACAGCTCACACGATTATTATAAACATGGCAGTATTGACACAACTAAATCTTCCTAAAACTAAATTTAATCTTGATTCTCTCTATCTAACTCATTGTTTTGTTGGTGCCAAGCGGAATCGAAAAAAATGCAATTTCTTTAATTGCGTCAGGGAGAGAGTTTCCCCAGACATTATTTAGACACTTGCACTGAAATTTTGTAAGTTCAATTCATTTTGAATTGTTTAGTTTGTTGTTTGATATTAACTATTCGGCGTACTGAAGTCTTCAATAGCCGCGGAGCCAGCCAGTACATCCGGACTGAGAGCTCGCATAGCAATGTTCCGGTGGCGACGGAACATCAGTTGACATCACCACGCAGCTCGCCTAGATGCTCACTGGCGCACCGGAAGATCAGGGCTAGAGGGAAAAACTTGGTGCAACGTAAAAATGCATCTGTTGTAATTAACGACTGATTAATTTTAGCATCGTTGAACTAGGAACGCTCTTGTTAGACAACATGAATAAATTTAGTAAACGATTCATATTAGTATGATCAATAACTTAGCAAATTATATTTTTCAGTTATGTGTGACGCAAGTGATGTATTATAAATTTAGAGAAAGTTGTTAATATAATTAATTTAGAGAAATTTTAAGTAAATAGTTATTATATTAACACGTTGAGTTCGGCACGACGCACCAGTGGGTGGAAGAGTCTTTTTTTGTCGGACAAATTCCACAGTTTAGTTTTTTCCAATTGCGTTATTCGACACAAATTTATGATGGCAGTATTAGCTCATTAAATTTTAAAATGTTCGGAAATGAAGAAATTTTAATGGCCGTTTTTAGGCAATCTGCCAGCTCTGGTGGATCGTACCGTACATAACGTCTTAAATTTTAATTGCGGCCCTTCATATTATCCATATGTAAAATTATTTGTAGTAGCTATGAGTTGAAATTTACAGTATTTAAAAGTATTTCTGATCATTATCATTGTTATATATGTTGCTATAAGTCATAGAATTCACAGAGAAAGTGTCCTGGCAACGTGGGAATTCTCCCGCCCTCAATCCTGGTTCCCACGCTGCATGGAGCTGGTCATGCAGATGCGTTGAATATGCAAACCGATGAAAAGGGCAAGCTCAAATAAGTTTGTAAACGTAATTAAATTCAATTCCCTTAAATTTGCACATGAATTATAGTTTCTGAATGTCTTTTTTCATATAACTTTTCATCAAGAAACAATATCAACTTGTATTATGAACGTCGAGGAAAATGAAACTTCCTGGGAAAGATTGAGCTTAGCTGCGGATGTCTGTGTCAACACGAATGCATTCATCCGCTTAATCGTGGAATTAAATTCCGGAAAACAGAAGCGAAAAGAACCCTTGAGAGTTGCTTAGTGCCATAAATTACCTCGCTCACAAGAAAGTCCACAGGTTAATCTATGAAGAGCTTAATACGCCAATTTAACTTTGTCATTTAGTAAAATTAGATAAAATTTAGCTGCACAAATGCCGTAAAACCTAATTTCAGCACTGGACGCGTATCCGAGTAATTGATAAAAAACGAGGAAATTACCGACATTCAAAAAACATTTCATTCTAATCTAATCCTAATCTAATCCAGTTTTCACTCAGTCTTGCTTCAATTGACTACATTATTTGTTTTTTTTTCTAGTTGCGGCGTTTTTTCATGCATCCAAAAGTTTTGAATCACAGGAATTACAGCCAGTAAATTATTTCCTTATAGTTCGTTCCTCAAACCTTTTTAAACCAATTTGGCATCAAAATAGTCGAATTTCTTAAATCGCTTTTGAAAAACGCAAATTATAATCATTACTCTAAAGAAATAATAAAGAATTAATCCCTTTTTCAGATTTCGCAATGATTTTTTAAACGATAAAAACTACCTAGAACAAAAACACTATTATTTGGCTGCCTCAAAAATCAAGGTGACTTCTAATTTTCAAGACTTCTAGCACGTTGGACTAGAAGCATGCTCGAAACAAATATATTATTAAAGTTAAATTTAAAATATTGCACGACAATCGTTACATTCGCCTGAGATAGCGAATACTGTGCGTCTGGATAAGAAAAATGTAATGACACGCATGAGCACTTTTGTCGAGACTTAGCGTATTCGCTCACACCGCGTTGCGCAAAGGTTGAATCAGGCAATCAGGTGATAAAATCGCTGACAAAGAAACTAAAATTTAAGATTTCAACCTGGAAGGCTGAAGTAAAAATATTGCAAGAAACTGGAATTGTGAGCATGTATGTTACCAGTACACTAGCCAATCAGGTTAATGGGCTGATGGAGTCTATGCGTTGAATAACTTTAAACGTCAAGTTAAATATCGAATCTTCATCTCTTTGCCGACTGCTAAATTTTGGATAAAAAGCCTTTAAAAAATTGTCGAATTCCGTTACTTTTGAGATTTACCCATTTGAAGTTTAGGTATATCAGTTATGGATACTATCGACTTCAGTAACGTAGCATTCAAGTTGCAATCCATCAGACGGAATGCCCCCGTCTAAAAATATAAGTCCCCCATATCATTCTCAAGCGTTTATTCCTATATTTACTGTTATTCGGAGTACCGTACGTGTTTATCTGCATGCTGACTACGCGCATATTAATTCCACACCATATCAAAAATTGACATTCTGGTAGTATGAAGACCATCTGATTAAAATGTGTGAAATGAATTAACATGATGGATTATAATGAAATAAATAATTTCTTCATCTCTTGATTAAGATGTTCAAATATGATATGGATGTAAAACTCGGCTGCGTGACTGGGCAATGTCAGAGAACTTCATGAATGACAGACTGCGTGGTTTGAGAGGATCATTATTTAGCCAGCGGTGCAATCTCCAGCTCGCAAATCGTAAGATAGTTTATTCATTCAACACTAATGAAATCATGCATTCTATTAACCAAGATAACTTACAGAACATTCAAATCTTTAAAGAAAAAGTCAATTCTTTCAAATGAACACTAGAATGTACAATTATATATTCAACACTCGAAAAATATTTTCTAGGTCATCCTTGTCTGCCTCTATTTCTTTCTAAGAATTTATGTCTGGTCGTGAGCAATGCTAAGAATGGGTAAATTTTCCTTCGATTGTAGCCTGACCGAATAATTATTTGTTAATCGTACTGGGAAACAACAGTAAGATAGGAAAGTGTGCTCGCATAACACGGTTTTAGATTCAGTTCAAAATAGAACCTCGCAAAACATAAGGCACTTCATGATTTATAGTGATGATATTGAAGAAAATTACTCTCATGCGGCGTAATTATCTCAAACTGGACAACACTTCATGTCGTTACTCCTCCTGATTGAAATGAAAAATTCTAAGATTTCCATTTATAGGTCAACACAAATGATTGGGAGTCATCCAAGTATTAAGATGCGTTATTGTTGAGGAGTCGAATGCGAAGAAGGGTCTTCAGTGGCCGCGGTTTTCTAACTGTACCGTGCAGTGCCAGTCCGCTAGCCGGCTTGGCTTCAGTGTGAGAACAGCGCTTCTTGTGACCGTGTTGAGGTGCAGTCAAGACTTCGTCGTTGACATAGAGGTAAGATTATCAGAAATGTATTTGTCATTTACGTCGCTGTGAATGATTAGGACGATGTGTGTTTAGTTATGATATGGACCATTTCATTTTGTCAGAGTCGGACCTCTTGGAGCATGTTTTTTATTTTTTTTTTAGGTAAACGATGGAGAATTGCGCTTTTGACCCTTTAGAACAACCAATGCAATAGAAGAGACAACAGAGCTTTAGATTTTCAAACAGTATCTTTAACATATTTTAATAATATATACGAAATCACCGTTGCTCTTTTACATCAAGCATTGAATCGCATAATGAAATATTAACTTTAACTTACCTCGCATTCAAAAGAACTTATCAACCATCATTCATGTCATCATTTGATTGAATTACTACCACATTAAGAATTCAACAGCATTTATGCTACTGTCTTACAAAAAATCACACTATTTGTGCTCACATTCACTCCAGTGAGTGTATTGTTGCACGGACGATTCTCACGCATGGGTTATGGGACAAAGTTCATTTTTCATTTAAAATATTTTTCTAATGTTATATAGTGAAAATATCTTCCTTTCAATCATTTTACTGGATTTATGATGTCCAGAGAAGTATATTCCAGGCAAAAGGAAAAAGTTATCCTAGAAAATTCTCCCATCTAAGATGTATTTAGCATTATTTTGTAAGAAGACGCCGCGACACTTGAAAACATTTCACTGCATTAAGGAATGAAGAACAAAATGATATATGATGATCTATTATTTATCTTTTTACTTATCGGATTCATTAGTAATCAAATGAAAACCACTCCTAGACTTCATTTATTATTTGTTACTTATTGTATTGTTTTTAAACTAAAGCAAACGCATTCCATGTAAAACGTTGTCATCGATGGAGGTGTTCAACGTATGTCAGCTTAACCTGAACAATTTCATGCAAGATCTCACGTGGCGTACTACTAGAAGTTGTTTGAGATGTTGTCAGCGAGAAATGATGTACCCTAGCGACAATATTGTTCAGCATTCGCTGCATCTGTTATAGCATTTAGTAGAACAATATTATTTATTGTTTGTGTGAATGAGTTTATTTTTAATATACAAAACTTTCTAGCGCTGGCTTTGAGACCATTAGCTTTATAATTTGTTTGGTCTATCGAATTTACGGGGCGTACGCCCGACGCGCGGCGAAGCCTTTGCGAGGTGTTTGTATTGAACGTTATTTCGTGCCCTGCAGCGCTATAGTCCACAACACCTGCACTGAAAGGTGTAACGGTTCCAATAGGTGTGCGCTATGGGAAGCATCTGTGTACCGCACGAATGCACTTCGTGACTCATTGACGGTCCAACGAAGCTGAGCTCATTTTAGATCGTGAAGATGCCTAGTGAAGCTAAATAATATCACATAAATTTACGTCAAATTAATTTATTATTTTACATCTTACAGCTCTTAATGATAAAATATTGAAATATTTTATTTGTCTGGATTAAATTTAGTGCGGTTTTTACGAGATAGGATTGAGTTACGAATATTCCAGTTATGGTGTTACGATGTTATTTGAGTTTCGAGTGGTGTCTTCCAAACAATAAAAGTGCGTGTAAAACTTATCTCTTGACAAACAATTTCGTTATTAATGAAAACTGTGTTTTTACATCTTTCACGCAGGAAAAAATACCACCATGTACCGAATGCTCGTCGCGATTTTCTTCCCGCTTATGGCCCTTTCGTCGGCAGCGATGGCGTCTTTAGAGCATCAACCTGAGCCACTGTCAATTTTTCAAGACACAAACACGTTCTATAAAATAAAACCTGATACCTCCATCCGAGAGCAGCATTCACACCAGTACTTCCCAACCAATAAATTCGACGACGAAGAGTACTATTACAGCGAAGATGTTACCCATCATCTAGATGAATTCAAAGAAGAAGACTATACTGAGGTAACAGTACCTTACGTTGAATCCAATACTGTAGAGAATAATACCAATGAATCAATTGAAGCTTCCAGAAACGAAGGTTACATGAGTTACCTTCCCTCGCTTCCGGACGTGGCTTCAAACTGGAAGACCACATTGATAACCCTCATAGACACTGTCCACAAGGCCACAAAGATTTACCAAAGCAAACGACAAGAACTATCGGCAAATCTTGATGGAAATAAAACAGACCGAGCCTCCAAATCTCACAGCTCAGTGCCAACTTCTTTGGTAAGTTTGATTTTGAACCCACGGTCGTTCGACGAGCTGGTAGAAGTCGGCCGATCGGCGCATTCTGAAGACGAAGTTCTGGAAGGCCTTGCCTCAGTGGTGCTTAAAGCCGAAGGGCGCTACGGATCTTCCCTAACTCTGGACCCCGTTACAGTCATTGCACTTCTAACTCTAGGTGAGCAATCGCTTGGCTATTTAACTCCCTATATGTGAAGTACAATTGCTGTTTCGTACGTCTTTTCCGCTGTGTCGTAGAAAATAGTGATATTTAATAAATTATGTTTGATATGAGTGTTCGATTCATTATCGGTTTCTTAAATATTTAAAATGCTCATTAAATAAATGGAATGATTCGTTTTAGTGATTTAAGATCTACGTGTTCTAGATTTAAAAAGACTTCCCCGAAGTATTTAGCTTGTTAATTTAATATTGTATTGAACAATCTTAAACCTTTTGATTTCAAAAAATTGTATCCCTAATTTAATAATTGCCAGAATTGATTAGATTTAGATTGCCCGAGCGTAATTATCGCTTTATTTGCAGCGGCTTACCTCATTAGAGCTGTGTACCAAATCCTCATCACGAATAACAACGGACGAAGTTTAGACTACGAATATCCTTCACAGCTGCACGCCGCTCTCGCTGGGCCTGCTGCACCAGAGAAGCTCGCACAGATCGCGGAGTTCATCACGCGGTACGACCATACTAGGTGAGCCACGCCATGCACGGTTAAGGTAACATAACTAGTTATCTTACACGGGAGCAGATTAGTTGGTTCCTGAATGAAAAATGTTATGTTATTCGGTTATTTGACTAGCAGTGTAAAAAAATCTATTAAGAACAATGGGCAATCAATTAGTTCAAGAATTGTCACTGAAAAGTCTGCTTCGCGTTTGCTGCATAGTGATTAGTGATTGCTTATACATAGAGGTACATATAATCACCCTCTCTAAATTCTTAGCCAACGTAGTAAGCGTGTTAAATTTTATTCACAGAATTGTTGGATTGCCTATACTGCATGGGATATGTAGAAGGGATAAAGCTTCATCATTCCTTTGTGATCAATGACCATAATGTCAAATGGTGGCGTTCTTTAGGCCCTGGAAAGGCTGTAATCCTACTCCGAGCAGTACTTCTATTGTCTTAATTAAGCAGCCATATAAAACGCCAGACGTCATCCGTTTTCAGATTTGCCATTTTAGATAAATACCAGTTACTCAAAATCTTCCACTATTGCATTGAATTTAATTCATAGATCTGAAGTTTTAAAAATAAACTGTAATATATACATAAATATGTATATTTTAACCCAAACTACATCTTAAAATTGTAATTTGCTAAGAATATCCAAAGGATAATAATGGTTCTCCATTACTTATTGTTCTGCAATTGTTAACTGATGCATATTTACTACTAGACACGCCAGATCGCCAGAAGAAGACCAACAAATCAACAGCCTTGACATCGTCGACGCGGTGGCCAACAACAGCGTCTTATCGGCGCCGGGCAGCGTAGCGGCGCTGTTAAAACTCGGCCGCGAGGGCCACGACGGCTGCGTGCGACTGTACACCTGTGAGCATCTCGGCACCAAGAGCGTCTTTAGCTACAGTTTCGACCAATTCATCATGTGAGTATTGATAGCTAGACCTTTGCACTGCCCAGTAAAATCCTATGTTCGACGCACGCTCATATTTATAAATACGTTAAATGCGTGGAGTGATTTTGAAGATAAATAATGTTATCCGTGGAGCTTGCCCAAAGATATTTATATTTTCAACCATTAGCCTCGATAAATGTCATAAAAGCTAGTAAACAGTTACCATATTAAATACCTAACACTGAAAATAACACTACAATGTGCTAGAATGATAGCTAATTGTTTGCTGGATAAATTTGTTTCGCACTCCGAACAGCGCTGGCATGGGGCTCTACTTGAGCCCCACGGACAGATGGTCCTGGCCGGACCCAGCGGACTATCTCGCCGGGCCCGTCGACCATTGCGCCAGCTACAGAGGGCAGTGCAAGCAAGAGGCGATGACAGAAGCTGTGCACATGAGAGATCTGTTCACTCAGACGTTCACGAAGCTGTTCCACTTCCTTGCGACTGCTCGAAAAGCGCGGAGACAGAGTTCCGCGAGGCAAGCTTCGGCGCCCTCAAATTCAGATAATTAAGACTTTGCTGTAATTTTGGCACGGTATTTATTTGAAATATTTATTCCTATGCCTGAAATCACTAGACCTTCATCTAGCAAGGCAACCAGAGTGTCTTCCTACAACCAATGTTATCCTATATCGAAAAAAAATTTTGTCGCAAAACTTCCTGCGTGCGCTAAATGCATGGTTCAGCCTTCTATTTTATGAGCTCTTAGGTTTACGTAAAGTCTTCGAAAATTTAATTATGATCTGGCGTTAAGTGACTAATGAAAGAAAGATAAAATATATAGAGCCAATTGGAAGTGATGGACATGTTCGATCATCAAATAGAAGCAAAAAGGTCGATCGGGTCGTTCCGTTTGAGTTTCCATCGAACCCGTAGATCTCGTACAAAGACTTCGGATCAACTAAATACGCTAAAAATACTAATTCGCCACCTTATATCAAAAGCAATCATCGGACAGCAAATTCAATATTCAACTCGATCCAACCATGACACTTCATCCGTAATGCATAGGTATCTCGCTTTCAACATTAATATGGGCATTTTTGTACGTTGAGCTAGGCATAAACGTTAATAATTATAATCTGTAAGTGTGCTAAACCTTGCGCTATCTTGCCAAGAAATTATGTCCAAACACGCAAATTCCGCGAATTTCGTTCCGGCCACAAAAATTTCTCTTATCAGTAAACGCAAGAAATAAATGATGCTAATTTGCTTTCAAGTACACGTCATCACACGGCGAAGCAAAGTGACCCAGGGCAGGGTGGTCCAATGGTTACAGTTCCGAGTCCCAAGATTGGCGCAGAGAGGCGCGGGTTCGATCCCAGCTCTGTGCGCCAGTTTCTGGTCAGAATCGGCAAGGAGGCCGGGCGGTTAAGCACAGCAGAATTTGAATCAGTGAGTTGTGAGTTCGAGACCGCAACATGCTGTGGATGTTCTGCGATGTTAAGAATCGGCAACAGGCTTATGGCCTAATAAACGCTGAAACCGTTATTATTATTATAAAGTGGTTTTCTCCAGTTCTTTTATTTTGACTGGATTGAAAGTCCAAACTTTCAATTCTACAACGAAAATGTTTAAAATCTATGGGATGTGTATTGCTTGTTAATTTTTCTGTATGGGCAAAGAAATAAAATCTGAACAACAGTTTTTTCCAACCCCAAAGTTGCATGAAATTATACCTGAATAATTGAAAAAAATTATATTGGAGTGGTGGGCATGGGACAGGGTTAAACGGTTATACATTGCATCTTCCATTTGATTTCATTCTTGGTCGCCAGAGAAGTAGTTGCCAAAGAAATAGGCTCTAAGAATTTGTTATAAAAATGTGAAAAATGTAACGCACGTGAATCCTTATGTTCAAATTCCCCAGGAAAATAATAGAAGTTTATAATACGAACTTTACTCAGAAAATATAACCGCCCAGCGACTGAGAAAGTATGTAGATAGTCCGATTATTTTACTGCGCTATAGATTTTATGCAAGGAGAAGAATTGAGGAAATATAATGCAGAAGTTTTGAAACTATGCGATATGAATGTGACACTTCCAAAACGAAAAATTAAGGTAACACAAACGACGTCCGGTAAAATTAAAATTACAGCTTAGATCTAGCTAACGTTGTATGAAATGAAGATGGTGTCGTTGTGTATTATTAGATTTAACTCCACTTCTAAATTTCTATTTTTATAGTCGAATATGAAGAACTAATTCCGAATTGTATCAAGTGGCAAACAAATATATCAAGACCAAATCGCAAGCTTCAGAAATTGTTTTTAAATAGAACTCGTGAAAAAAAAATAATAATTCCAGATAAGTAAGTAAATACTTGGGGAAAACAAATGACGCACCCAACACTGCACTAATAAAAAACTACCGCGATTAAACGAAAAAATCTGCTACACATGATAGGCAAACGTCTGAAAATTTGTCATGCAAAATGTTACATAAATCGTCGTTTCAACTTCGACCCTGTTCAATTTTCCAGTAAGATTATATTGATATAAGCGAAGCGTTAACAAACCTAAAGACTTCTACATTAGGTGAGTTTGAGTTTACTGCGGCAACTGTCAAGTTTACTACGGCAACTTGTCAAGCTCGTCAAGAAGGCCGTCGAGGGGCGCATTTTGGTCAGTAACCGCAGCGGCGTCAGCGGCGCCGTTGGCCGCCTCCTCTGGTACGATGTCGTCCACCCAGACGGGATCCACGACAATCGGGGGATTGTTACACGACCATTGCCTCTCAAACTCGTACGTCTGTGAATAAAATAACTAGTTATTTGAACGACCATATCCCCAGTATGCTCGGCACTCAAAGTTAAAACATTAATAAAGCATAACTCGTAGCCTCATCAAGTATCTAGATTGAAGATAAATTGCAGGTACAGGCACCCAATATAATCTACTTCAACCTAGTCTGTGCACCTAAACATTATGAAGTACTTGAGTACAGGTACATAACTAAGAATGGAGTTGTAGTAACACTTCCCTAATATTAGCTTGGTTTCTCAATGTTAAATGCAAAGGCGAAACTCACTTCGCTGACGACGAGTTCCGGCTCGTAGTAATCGTACACTTTGACAGTGCCTGCCTTGGCGTTCTCAACCTCAGCTTCTCGGATCGCAGTGAATTCCACACAAGTTTCTTGGGCAGAGAATTGATCGATATAGAAGAGGACCTTGCTACCATCAACCTCGTATCGCTTGATGACACCAGTGCCATAACCGACAATACGCTTCAGGTCTTTCTTATCAGGAATATAACCCGACACGAGCGTTACTTCGATGACGGCCATGTTGGACTCGAGGTCGTTGAGGAGGTAAGAAGCGCAGGCTTTGATCTTGTTTGCATCGCATTTTTTAGCGTCATAATCAATGCTTGTAGACACGCTCAGGGTAAAGGCTTCGCTGGGCAGGGGTTCTCGGACATTGTAGCGCACCACAGCCTGACGACGAATCAAGAAGACTAACATATTAATTGTTAACCAAATTTCCTAAATATCAATTATTCCGTGCGGAGGCTATTAACATGTTGATGTATTGACATGTTGACCAAATCATTAACATGTAACACACGTTCAATAAAATCATCAACACCTTCATAACGCGGCATTTTTAGCCCTAATTTTTCCAATGTTACGTACATAAAGCATGGAAATGTGAAAAACAAACGACTCACCTGGACGAGAGAGCATCCAGTGCCGGCCAGGTCCAGAGTAACCGTGTTCGGCACCACGTCCACTTCTGCGCGCTGTGTCAGCAGCTTGTTTTTCTCAGTCACCTGCACACAAGTAAGTAACGTGCATCAATTCCATGAAATAAATTGCGTACCTTCATCCAGTTACAAATGAACACCACCGAAAATTTGTATTAACTTCCACGGAAAATATTTTATCATAGAAAAAATATTGGTATGGTTCAAAAATCTAAAAAATTGAGAACCCAGTGTTCAATACCTGGAAAGGGATTATATGTTATATGTTATGCCGTCATGCAATGAACAGGGGTACGCAGTTCACGAAATTGAAAAGATTTTGATCGAAAAAAAAAACACGAGATTCATCAAACTAACTTTGAACTGAGCGCTGAGGCCTTGGCCAACAGCGGTGATGCTGAGATCGAGAGGCTCCTGAGTCTGATGGCTTTCGTAGAGTGCCAGAGCTTGGAGGGCCAGCACGGTGTCCTGGAAAACATAGAATCCTTGAGTAAGAAGGGAAATAACTCATGTATCCCAAAAAGACCAAAAATAGTTCGGCAATAATAGATGAGGCTATAATACGAGCACGTGTCGATGAGGTATTCATTGAAAAAATCGTTGCAGTCCGCTTGATTGCATTTGAACCGAAGCAATTAGAGTTCACAAGTAAGGTAAATCAGGAGTTTAACTTCGATTGGAAAGTATTTTGTCCATAAAAACAAACAAACAGTAGACAGAAAAAAAAAACTAACCTGAGTTGAAACAAATCCACCTTGGCTATTCCGCATAGAAGAAATCCATTTGACGATTTGTGGGCCCAAATCCTGAGCCTGCGGCACATCAGCGTTCAGCATCGCCAGAAGAGCGTAGCTCGTCGTCTCAACCGCGAGCGCAGCGTTATCCTTGCCTGTCGATACCAAATTAGTACACACGGACTTACAAAATTAATCTTGTTGTAAAAAAAATCTGAAAGACGTGGCACGAAAAATACATAAGTCGCATACATTTGAAACACATACACAACAGCATACACAACACAAAATACACAACAGCTTCTCAAACAGACTCAGAGCAATAATAGTTCTCTCAACCAGTAAAGTTTGGGTTCCGTCTGTATATTTTAACCGAGCGAATAAATGTCGACAATCTCCACCAACCAATGCACAAGAATATGTCGACCAATTTATCCTCACCGTTCAGGCCTTTCATGTCCCAGAAAACTCCAGCAGAGTTCTGCGTAGATTTGGCAATGAGGTCTGTAATAACTGCTTCGGTCTGAGGCAAGCGTGCCAAACTGTATGCATAAGCTTTGAGCGCCAGCAAGTAAACGTCAGAAGCACCCTTCGTGTTGGCAGCCGTCGCGGCTTCGATGCAAGTCACGGCCTCTGCAATGGCCTTGCCGGTAGGCTCTTCGCCAGCTTCCAAAAGAGCTGCCATTACGTAGGCCGACAACACGTCAGCGGCACCACCCTCAGCCAGGCCTCCCTGCACAAACCAACATTTTGGCCACCATCCAATACGCATTACCGCCTCATAATATATACACAATAAATGTAGTAATGAAATAATGCAAGGGAATGATATGAGCTTAAGAATAAATATGGCTCAAAGCGATAAATCAAGCTGAATCAAGCTTCGAGTTATCATAATGCATCATTGAACACGGTCGTTGAATATAGCTGAGTACGCATGCTCAAATGGTAAAATTTTTCCGAATTTATACATACATTCGTATCTAAGTTATGTTGAGAGGATGTTTACCTTCATGCCCTTGTGGAGAACTTTTCCCACGCTCTCAAAACAGCCGTTCTCGAGTTGACGGCTCTTGAGCCAGTCAGAGCTCATGGCGAGCTCGGTAGCATCAACAGAAATGTAGGGACGCGCCTGAGCAAAAGACTTCACAACAAACGCAGTGAGCCACGTTGACCCTGAGTCGTCGCTCTCGCCGAACGCGCTATAAGATCCGTCGCGATGTTTGTAATTCAGCTCACGCTGGTACCCTGATCGATGGAACACACTATACAGTATATTTCAAGTATAACTCCTATCACGACCTAAATGTTAAGATATATGAATTTGGCCTGAAATTAAAAGGAATTTCAGACGAGGAAGACAATATTTGAAGCTGTTCAGTTTGTATTGTTCACATCATGTAATTTCAGATCACTGCAACGAAGAATAATCAGCGCTTTTATCAGTTCAGAGAATTAGAGACAAGTTTGATAGAAAATCATAATAATTTTCAAAAACTAAGCATTCTCAAACCTTATTGACTTCGATGGCTGCGCAAAATATGATACATACATCGGTGACGTTGAAATATGTGAACGTAAACTAACCATTTTGCATGAAGCGGACGAGTTTCTCATTGACTTCATCGTTGCCTTGATTAGAAGCCGCTAAGTATTGCATCACGTAGATGTTGGGGGCAAAGTTGAGCATGTTCTGTTCTCCGCATCCGTACGGCATTTTTATCAGCTGGCCCAAGTTCTGCACGATTAAATTTGAGGAAAAAAACAAGTCTGATGAATGAGGCAAATCTTGTGAATGTCACTCACTTGCACACGACGCTCGCGAAACTGAGATGCCTTTAACCTTTTGTCAACGAATACATTAATCTGTCAATTTTGTTCTTATCATAACGCATGATAATTATATTTACTGTTGGTAGGCTTCAAGTTGAATGTTCAGCACTTCAGTATACAGATGAATAATTACGAATGATTGATGGCAAATAGTATTCACACAAATATCACACACCAATAGTCGAGCAAAATGAGTGGTTGCGAAATAAATCTCGATCGCGCTCTATGAAATAAGTTGTTTTCAGTGCGAACATAAATAAATAGATTCTCACTGGTGATAAGCGGCACTAGCTCACCTCAGTGAGAATAAATAGATTCTCACTGATGATAAGCGGCACTAGCTCACCTCAGTGAGAATAAATAGATTCTCTAAGCGGCACTAGCTCACCTCAGTGAGAATAAATAGATTCTCACTAATGATAAGCGGCACTAGCTCACCTCAGTGAGAATAAATAGATTCTCACTGATGATAAGCGGCACTAGCTCACCTCAGTGAGAATAAATAGATTCTCACTAATGATAAGCGGCACTAGCTCACCTCAGTGAAAATAAATAGATTCTCACTAAGGTGAACCCGAGCAGCGGTCTCACCTCCAGAGTGGGCCCCAACAAGTCTCCGGCAGCTGTGATCCAAGCGCGGGCCGAGTTGTTCACGATGCGGTCGGGAGCCTCGAGACGCCACTCGGCGAAATGGTCTTGATTCTCAGGGGCGTCTACAGCAGAAGAAAATGACAGGAAATATGACAAACCCATCATAAAATGTTGAAGTCAATTCATACAAAGTGTGGAACTATACAGATTTATAAGTTATATTGAACAACTTGTAAGCCTTCACAGAAAACTAGTCAACAATAAAAATTTAATGTCACTCATGACAACGTAAATGGCTACATAGAGTTTGAAAATTATGCAGTTAAGAGACTGCAGATTTATATATATACCTTCGCTGCAGATGTATTTCGTCCATGTCTTCTCTCTAGGGAAGCCCTCGTAATCAACCGCGATGGGCTTGATGATGCGATCACTAAAGGTAAAAATTATATTAAAACTTCCCCGTCAAAATGAAGTCAATAGCAACTCTTGTCTAAACCAATTAAACACTTTACGTCGGTGAACACCAATATTAGTCCGATAATCTCTTTCAGTAAAGGTTGTAGGTTCGTAATATTCAAACCAAAGAAAAAAAACTGTGTATTTTATTTAACTCCACGATTCGAATGCCTTCAAGTTAATTTAGCATAAAAGAACCATAAAAAGCCACGTTTCCTGGCGTCCAATACTAGCGGCACTGCGGCACGAATGAAGTAAGTGTAAATACCGCATAATCGGAAATTTTTCAGACTCATTGAAATATTCATGTAATAAGAATTGCTATTCAAGAAGCTCCATGGAATATACTTTCAGCAAAAATTCATAAAAACTCAATTCTTGCTGCCAGTCGTAACTTCATCTCCAGGCTTCAGCGCCGGCAGTCAGAACTCACGCTTTGTTTACGACAACTTCAGGGCCACACTCTTCGGGATACGCGGCATCCACGGCAGCTGAGACGGTCAGGTTTACGTCACCGACGGCTAGAGGACGCACCCTGTGGGATGGGACAGCTTTATGAGGCTTGGGGGAAAATTTCACAACCCTTATCGCATTTACGGTTAAAATCAATACAGTTTGCTGCAGAAATTCTTTCAAAAGACACAAAAGTGACAAATTTATTCTTAAAAAAGCTCAATCTCAAGATTCCATTCACAAAAAAATTGATTCTACGGAACAAAAGCTAACTTATCTACAGAACAAAAGAAAATGAACGAGTATAATTAAAATTTATTCGTAAGAAACCATCGTTTTAGTCCCATAGCGCTCAAGTGCTCATACATTTACAATCCTAAAAGCAAATAACAGACACCGAGTTTTCCATTAAAGCCTCGTTATGATGCCTCAAACCATCACCAATCGTCTGTCTGTTGTACCATACTCACCTTCTAAAACGATCGAGAACAAATAAATGAACTTGTGAAAAAAGCGTTAGCTGAGACACCAAAAATCAGACGTTGTATTTTCAGCTAACAGCAACAAAATCTCTTCAAATAATATCATTAATTAAACAATGATACCTAAAATTACTCTTAGGTAGTTTTCTTAGATGATTACCATCCTAAGTATTACATACATATAGAAAATCTTTGAATTAGCACCCATAAATGATAAATTACAGTGTCAAACTGCGACGATACATCATGGAATTTATGGGAACGTTTATGTAATATCAGAATAGGTCACACTTCTAAAACTAGAATTTAATTTCTTAACACACTCGCACTGGCTAATAATACCTGGCCAACCATGCAGGTATAATTAGGTCAAAAATCATTCTAAGCTTAGGCCTAAAATAGGTAATCAAATGTGTGTATTCACCTGATGACGACAGTCGGCTTGCCTTGGTCAAAATTTAGGCCTAAAAAAGCTAATCAGAAGCGGGGTGTTTACCTGATGACGACAGTCTGCTTGTCTTGGCTGGGTATACAGACGGAACGCACGCCCGCAGCGGCCTGGTCAGCGGCGGCCTCGGCGCCTGACTCGCCTAGCATCTCGTACTCGGGGCTCGGCTCCAGCGTCACGCGCACCTGCGAGTTTAAGGGGAGCGTCTGGCCAAAATTTTTCGATATTGGCTTTTCCGGTTGTTAGTCTCATCTTAAAGCTGACATTCAGACCTATCCAACGGTACCAAAATCATCTCTGTACGTTGATTTATGCGTTCACGACAGATCCGAAAGGGTTAGGGGTGGTAGAGTTCTTTCACATTTAAACGAACCTCATTCATAATTACTCATTTAGACAGTAATTATTCATATAACAATTGAGTCATGTTAAGTACTCTTCCGCATCATTGTTGGTTACTAAAATGTTTATCATTTTTTTTATCATCACTGTTCGTTATGAATGTAATTAGAAGCCTGAAATTTGATGCTGGTTTTGATCGAAAAACTGACAATTTTTTCGAAAGGTTAGTTTTTTCTATTTGAGAAAGTTTAGTATTTTCCCATTTTCGTTTACTTTTTATTATTTAGTATGTTCAAATAGAGTAACATAAATAGCTAGCTATCTTTCACAAATTTCATGTGAACGATGGAACTTACAGGTAAAGAGTTCTCCAAGTAGTTGAAGACGGAGATTTTGACAGGCATAACCTCTCCCATTTTGACTGAAGGCAGAAGAGTCAAGTCGATGAAGAAGGGAGTAAATGTTGTAACAGATGCCGGGTCAGAAATACCTAACCCCTTATCAGGGTGGACACATACGGCCTTCCCGATCCATTCCGTGATGGTATCCGGCAGGGTGAGGTCTTCTGTGTAACTTCCAGTGTCTCTGTACCATCAAAAACTTACTTAAGCTCTTGCATGTATAACAAAATACATGTCATGATATCAGATATTAATAACATGTTGCAAAAAAATAACTTTTCAAATCAAGACTAAGTTAAAGACTTCAAACAAGAATACAAAATTCCGTGTCACATATTGCAGTTATTTCATTGAACATAATTATAGAACATTAACAAATTGTATACAACAATTAAATCGAATTAAAGTTGAATTACATGCGCTTAGTCTTTAACTGCCATTGAAGCTCGTGCAATCAAACATTTATGTGGTGTTAGTCAGCGAAAACCCACGCCACTCGCAAAATTGTCGTAGCTGAATTAATGCAGATTGATTAGGCTTAGAAAATTCGGAGGTTAACACGAGTTCATAATAAACTAGAATAGCATTCATTAGAATAAATATGTTAAAACAATGATAGCAAGCAAAAAATGCAGATTCATTCTCAAGGAAAACATGAAAATTACAAGAACGACGTCTTATTAGTAGAAATCACATGTACATTTTAGTAGTTAGCCGGCAGAATAAATTCTAACCACAAGAAAGAGAGAAGCTATCAGCGATGAAACTTGTAAAATTGGAAATAATGAGAACGGTAACACATTAATAGCAATATGCGCACGATGCGTAGACGCTTTTATTCGGAAATTGAGACAATGCAAGACGTGAGGACCATAGATCTAAATGCAGTTATGTTCTATCGCAGTTATCTTGTTCGAACGGGGTAGCTAGTAGAGACAGGCCTCTTTTTCTCTATGAGGTTGAAAATTTAATTTCTTAAACTTTCTATAATAACTAATGACGTTCGAAAGCCGACACATTATAAACTGTATATAGAAATCGGACATCTCAGACGAAAAATTTTGAAAGCCCTGGAAAACTTGAGGTTCTCAATTTTATTGCGACCTGAGGGCCTCATTATCATGCAAGCATTCGCGATAACTTTGGTCAAGTCTCAAAAATGCGCGGCTAGACACAGCTGGCACAGTTATCAAGTCGGAGAGGCTGGTTCAAGTTAATTTGCCGATTGCAGGCGAATGCGAATCCTTAGAATATATCAATACGTAAAAACACTTGCAAATGAAACGCGGATGCTCATCTACATACGTTATTAACTAACAACAGAACATCTCCGTAAGGGAAAAAATGCCTGATGACCAACTTCTTACAAGTTTATCCACAAGAAAAAACGATTTACATTTGCGTTGTCTGTTGAAGGAGCGCATCTCGATAGCAATATTTGAATGATTAGCTTGTCAGGCGGATTTCTTACAGACGCAAATGTTCCGTTATCATAACATGACATCAAAACAGCATCGTACACGGCTTTGAGGGACCAGAGCCAAGTTTCTGGGAAGTATACCCGTGGAGCTGCGTTTGTGATTTGGTGGTGGTCGAACTCGTAGATTCCAGGTCCACCATAACCCACACTATGCATCACAGAAGATGAAGCCGACATCTCCATGTCGAATTCTGCATTGGCTACCATAGCAGCTCCCCCACTTCGAGCAATGGCATATGGTGATCCGTATGCTGACGATCCAAAAAAGCAATAAAATGCTAGCCAATTCGACAGGTAGACTAGTTTAAATCGTAACAAAACAAGCTTCACAATTTGTACTTTTTTCTAGCTTGGATGAAAAACTCTGGCATAGCCAAAGTAGTAAATAATTTCATCCAACTGTCCTACTGTAGGATTGGTAATTGATGACTAATACGATGAACTGGCAAATGTTTACAAATCAGGCTTCATAAGAAAATTGTGCAGTAGAGTGAGCTCTACCAACATTACCCTCACTACCTACAGAACGGATTAACTGCCAGTCTTTTATTTATTTGCTCATCAGGCGCGCAAGCCTCCTAAGGGACATCGTTAAACTGAAAATATAATCCAACCAGAATGAACAAGATTATGATGGAGAATGTCATGCACACTTAAAGAGTGTCATCAAATGATTTAGCATTAAAAATTCAACTTGCATTCAACCGAAAAGATACTAAATGATAATTAATAGACGAGCGATTTCGATTCAGAACAGTTTAATTAGCGGTTGGCGTTCAACGTATATGCAATGCAATCCTGAGAATTGAAGGAAGAGATTGTTTAGTCCTCATTTATTTTCTGCTCATGCTCGCAAGAAGGGCTTCAAGGACACACTACCGCATCAACTACAACCGTACGAGCTCTCTTCGTACTCAATCTGATATAAATTCCAGATCCAAGAGTGAGGGAAGAAGCTTCTTTTCTTGACAGCGATGTCACCCTGAACCGGAGACATATTATTCAATGGTTTAGACGATGCAGCAAGTTTGTCGCGCTGGTCTGTAGGTGAACCGCTTAGAAGAGAGGTAGACAAACTGGCTCGGCTACGAAATTTGTTTAATCTTCGAAGATGACCTGTCGAAGTAACAAACAAGCCAGACCTGATAAACCTTGGGTAACCTGAGCATGAGCCTATAGTGAGCCTCGTTGCTGTGACAGTAATCTTAGTCGTTGACACCTTATAAGTGTAAACACGATGCAAATTTGCGGTATATACTCCATTATCCGGGAAGCAGAATATTTAAAACATCGAAGCAAGCAGAACTGAATAGTTAAGAAAACACTTAAGACACATTAGGCCCATAAGCACCGCATACAAAGTTCCTTTAAAGCAATGAATTAACTTTTTTGAACTTGAACGAAAGTAAAATATCGCTCAGTCTCAGTGAATTAATTCTTGAAACTCACGTCACCATTTTCAACGACCACAACCAAGTTTCAGGAAAATGAAGTCTGGTATTTTGGACACTCTTTTCACTGGAGTCCACGCTACTATGCGAAGAAACAGTAGTTGTAGGCTGAAGGGATGTGAGAATGATGGTTGTCGTGGTCAAAGGACGAAGCGTGGTGCCCACTCCTCGAGGGAAAACCGAATAAAACGAATCTGGGAGAGCCGAATAAAACTTCACACTTATAGAACGATGTAAGACTGAGAACTACGAACAATGCTTTATTGACGAATCACTGATGTTATTAATTTTCAGCGTTTAAACTTTCTTTAATTGCCTTGAAACACACATGAAGATCAAGCTTATTTTCCATGTATTAGTACGTAAAACGGTAGTAACGTATGTATTGAGATCGAGATCCACAATTTGAAAACACAGCAGCCATGTGTTAGTCTCCTTCTCGGAAATGCTTGTAAAAACATCAAGAGCCAAATCACTGGCTTTCTTTAAGCAACATCACACAATCACCATTTGTAGATTCTTCAACAGTAATTTTATTAAAGAAAAACATGATCAACAATTTTATTAAATATAACTCCCGGGAATTCGCACTATATAGTAGTTTCATCTTAACCGTTTCTTTCTCAACGGACGAACTTTCCGTATGAGGCACCTATTACCGATACACCATGAACTTCATGCAGGTCAACTTCCATTTCTAGCATGACGGAAGAAACAAGAAGTGCGATAAGCAAGCAAACGCGTTCGAAATCGCAACACATCACAGAATTCAAAGCCGGAAATGCATACGGCCGAATACTGAAGATTTAGATTCACGTATTTTATTGCTGGTTCTCTTTGGCGAATATGAAATATGATACACATTTCATATTGATATTTAAAAATATATAATAGTCACCAGGCAAAGGGTCTCTTATGGCCATATTTTCCTATTATGCTGCATTTATCAAATCACAGGCACTGCGAAGATTTTTCATGTTTTTTGCCTAGCAAAATTCGGATTTTTTAAATAATTTACTCTCATCACTAAGAGACTCCCTTCAGGTTAAAATAAACTTTGCACTCGAAAATATAAACACAAGGAAGATCGCAGTTATCATGTGTTAATATAAAGAGATTTGTGTGATGATCTCCGAAATTTTTAATATCCATTTTTTCAAAAAAATCGAAAATAAACGGAATGAATCATTATTTAGGTAAGTAAACAAATCCGAATTTTGCCTTCACTGTCGAAACGAATGGCCGTGGAGACGCGTATATAAAATTTCAATCAAAAAATTAAATCAATTGAATGCTAAGCGAGCGAATGCGGGCGATTGAATCAGATATTTAGGTTTCATTAAGCATTCACTACGTCGGCGAAAACGCATTGCAATATAAGAAGGTTTCTGCACATCAAGTGTGCCGACGACGAACAACGTTGCAAGCTTGAATTTAGAGGGCCATGAAAAACGGCATCAAGGAATCGCGAAGAAAAAAGATGTGGTCGCAATTATAACGAGACACTCGTGCATATCCGAGCTGAGAAGAGGAAAAAGTAAACAAAATAAAGACAACAGTCAAGAGATAAAAAAGCTTAGAACTGCGAATTTACCATATCACTAGCGGTAAACGGTGCGAATAACAACACAAAGTGTAGTATCGTTTCCAAGTACATTCGTATATTATGTGATAGAAATAATTGTATACATTGTATCAAAATTGTAGAAGTTGTCAACTGATGCATAAATACGGATTACGCTTAATATAATCCACTTTCGTCCCTTAGATGAGCTGACTGTTACACGTTAGTGCATGTCTACTCAACCATTACCAGATGGTCAGTGTATTGAAAACCAAAGAAACTGTATTGATTCTGAACAATTAATAATCTAAATCATTTCATGATTTAAGGGGTTAATGAAAAGATGCAAGCGAGTTTCTGAACCAGTGGGTGCTGAGAAACAATAGGCGTTACTAACGACAAAGTGGTCAACTGCCAGAGCCACGTCTCGGGGAAGTAGGTGCGAGAAGCCTGTTGGTCTGCTGGAGCTGCAGAGTCTCCCTTCTCCAGCAAGATGTCAGGGACGCCGGCAGCGGCAGGCGCAGCAAAAACCCTTAAATCGGTGTCATCATAATACACAGGTCGTCCACCTCCCCGACATGTTTCGCAACCTAAGAACGACATAGTGAACACAACATAATGCTGATTGAAGATTGTGTCGGGTTTCTCCATGACTGAAAGTCAAATAAATCAAGTAATTCAAGGAATCGATACGGCCAAATCGAAGTAGGTCAAACTTCAATTCTTGTGACTGGAAACGTCGAATTCATAACACACAAGCAGCTTGTCAACAAAAAAAGCAGCTTGTCAACATTCGAGTAGATATCGTGGAAATCGCCGGAAACTAAAAGACCGAACAACAAACCAGTCAACTTGTTAAGTGAAGATAAGTAATTTCTACAACCTATAATAATAACATCCGTTCACAACAGCTGCCTCCAATACGACGAGCAGAAGCTCTGTCCGCCATCCTCAAAGTAGCACGTTAAATAATTTCAACTACGCAGTACATGATCAATCTTAGCACTCGAGAACTTCTACACAAGACATTAGTGATCATCGTTATCGATAACTCGCACAACTTGTTATAATGTAGAATGGTAAATCATTATTAGCTAAAAATTAAAGCACTTAATGAGTAGCGAGTGAATACCAGAAAAAATCAGAAAACAGACGTAACTTGGAAGTTAAATTAAACTACAAGGATTTTCATATAAGCTGGATATTTTAATGCGCCCCTTAGACGATTAACTAAAATGAGAAATACTAAAAGAGAAAAATATTAAACAAGGAGCATAGAAAGTAAATCCCAGTTTGCTTCAGAGAATTCTAGGTTAAAATACGATGAGACATGCGAGTTCAGATGCTATCGGAACAACAAGAATCACGTATCCCTAAGGTTAGCCAAGACAAGCATACCAGCCAAGTTAAAGATTACTAAAATGAGAAATTCCACACTGTCAAAAACTGATGAATTGGAGCAAGACAAAAACGAACTTTTAACTATGAACAGAGGAACTGCAAACCAACAGCAAAAGAAGTTGCCAGAGCCAGGCCTCAGGAAAATAGGAGCGTGGTGAGCCTGCCTTGAGGTCTGACACTGCCATCAAAGGCAGCGCAGTCGCAGGATATTCTGCAAATAATCTAACGCTAAAACATAATCTTCGTTCCGCTGCACGCATCATCGGCAAAACACTCTTGTTCAATGTGAATTCAATAAAGAAAGATTATTCACTGCAGTGAAAAAAATATTCCAGGCTTTCCTGGTTCATGTTCTACGTCAGATAAAAATTGGCAATATCTTACAGATCCATGTTCAGGTTTTCGCTTTCAGTCCCATTATATGATTCAGCGACTAACACACTGGAGTTTGACACTAAGTAAAATCCACCGCGTAGCCACATTTACATTAGTCTAAAAATTCTTCAATCGGTTTCATCATCCGTAAATCTTCGGTTCATAATGACATTGTTTACACGAATACACTTTTATGCGAATATCTAGAAACAGATATCCTTAATCCTCTTCATACGAATGGATTTGATTACATGCAAAATTTAACGTGCTGTACAGGAAACAGTGTGAATGAGCACCAAGGAAAATAAACGACCTGCCGTTATAGACTTAAACCTTGCTCCGTTGAAAGAATATAAACCATAGACTCGTGCTAAAATAACTGCATAATGCAGTAGTACCTAGCTCGTAGCCCAAACACAACTTAGGGTGCAGGAGAAACGTGACGTCATCAAGGAAAGATGAGTGCCGAGTTCTATATGCAAGAGATGTGCTCTACTAACGCCACGGCTGTAATTTTCCACAGCCACGTCTCAGGGAAGTAAGTCCGCGGCGTTTGTTCCGTCGCTCCATTATCCGCAGGTCCAACAGCAGAAGGAAGAAACGCTGCACTCATGAAGATCGCCGGTGCAACTGTAGAAGGAGCTTCCGGCATGCCTCCTCCAAAACCCTCGGCGCCCCCAGCAAATGCCATATAGTTGCACGTGTGACATTCTAAAAGCAACATTTGTTTCATCATAACTTTACTCACAGTTCAACACTCGATATACATCACCGTGGTTGTTGAGCTCGCTGCATTAATTATTCGTAGTAAAGTCGCCGTAAATAAAACTTTGAAAAAAGTCGCCTGCAATAAAACTTTGAGCACTCGCCAGAGAGGTTAATTCGATGACATTTTGAATGAAATTATATTTAACTTTTCCATTACAAGCTACGTGTTAGTTCGCAAAGATTCGGCAACATGAAATACATTAAATTTTGTTGTTAATAGAAATAAAATATAATATAAATAACACATCAGTTCCATCATTGAAATAAAAGCTGCAAAAGAAACGAGCAAATTAGGTTGAGTTTTACAAAGGATTCTAAAATTAAATTAAAAACCTGTGATTGCCTACCTTGAGGGGAGTTAATAACATGAATTAAATTGTCAAGAAGATAGAAACGCAGAAACCGGAAAGAAACCGTAAGCGAAATACAACTAAGGCAGCGCTCATCTATCCAGTCAGATCTACTGTCCCATTTTTCAAACGTAAGAATAAAAGCCAAGAAACTCGAGCGAAAAAAAAATATAAAAAAACATGCACTGACGACAAAGACTGCAGTTTCCAGAGCCAAGTCTCAGGAAAATACGAGCGGGTCTCGCGCTTGGCAGCGCCTTTGGGAGCCGCGCCAAGAACTTCCCCAGAGGGTTGCTGAGGACTCGCCACCGCGACCGCGTCAGGCGCCAAACCCGATGGTATGCTACTTGCGAATGACATTATACCGCCTCCGAATGACATTACATTGATGGTCGCTGTGAGCAAAGATGAGGTCACTTAAAAGAAGAACGACGGAGTCTGTGTTATGACAAGCGCGATCAAGGAGGAGTGGAAGGCAGAAGCCATATAGAGCAGACATATATATGGCTTTGGTCCTCATCATGCTAAATTAATTATAGATTATCGCACATTTAGTGTAAGCATATTTTAGAAACCAGAAACTCTAAAGTTGCATTCACTCCACGAATATTATACAATATCATTGATATTTTATTCAAAATCGTTCGATTGTTAGCGTTCAGAACACGAGGTCTATAGGCATGGGATAAATACTGTTGCAAGTCAAGTTATTTGTAGCCAAATGTAAATAAGCTGTACGCATTACATTAATAAAATTTACACTTTTTTGGCTCTGTTAAGAAAATACCAAACATCAGAATTTTTCATAAAGAAAAAATGAATCATTCGGCAACTGATGATAATTGAAAATTGAAGAACTGAGTTTAAAATAAATTTTTATGCGTCACATTAATTTCTTTCAGACGCACGTATTAATTTCATCAGGAATAATCAATCAACAACACGAATGAGTGACGAGCCATTGCAGGTTTGGAGGCAGGAAGTTTTCGATGCAACACGTATCAGGATTTTTTCACCACAAAGCACAAAAATTTTCTGTAATATGTACACATGAAAAAAAGAGCTAACATCGGCAAGAAGAATAATTTTGTTATAATAACAAGACATGAGCAAAAGCGACCCAAACAAGCAGCACTGTAAAACACGACCATTGATCTGGAAGTAGATGCAATAGGTAAACTAACTGGACGTTTCGAAGTTGCCACAACCACGTTTCAGGGAAGTACACGCGAGTGTTTGCATTGCGATTAATGTGCATAGGTTCCGGCGCCGGTATATCAACGGACATGGCACTAGTAGCTATTTTTGGTGCAGCTGGAGCGGCCAAAACCCTATCCTGGATACCAGGGAAGCCAGGAAGATCTGAGTTGTAGCTGGGGTACCGCATAACTAAGAGAGAACAGTTATTTAGGACATTTTAGCGTAAACTTCAACATCGTAACCAATTACTCAGGAACATCATTTATTAATAAATAAAGCGTTTGATGATGTGAACATATGAAGATGAATCAAAATCAATGGGGGTTAATATATAGTGACCCGTCTCGAGGCTACCAAAAAAAATTATGCACAATCAGAAGGAAACATCACCAGCAAGGATAATTACCAAATACTTGAGAAACCGTCGGGGCGACACGAAAATACGCACCATTAGTACATTTTTGACAGAACATCGCAAACTGATGTTCATTAGTTTAACCTCAACAAAAAATAACTTCAACAATAGGAGACACAAAAGTAGAAAGTTTTGTACAGTCCGCAATGGCAGCTGTCGTTTTTAAAGGTTTGATCGCGGTGATGACAGATAAAAACATATTTCAAGTATTTCAGGACCTTAGTTAAGGCACTTTAAAATTTAGCAAAACCAATTAAAATCGAATTTACCTAAGCCCGCCATGAATGACTTGCCGAATAAATTTCGAACATCAGAAAATCACTTTATTCATTATTATTAGTCGATACTCAATATCAAACCCGTGATATTAAGCTGAACCACAATAGAATGCATAACAATGGAGAGCACTAAGCCATAGATGTAATTACCTGATGAAGGCAAATCTATTAGCTTAACAACACTGAAAATTTAGAAGTGCCGGGAAGTTACAATTCCGAATTCCGTACAAATTTTGGACGAATTAGATTTTATTTGAAACCCAAATTTCGGTCATTGTTAGGAAAGTTAAAATTAAAATTAAACAAGAAACCGCCCCAAAACACCCAAAGCACAAGTTAGCTGGGAAAATTGAACAACCATACACTCACTTTAGTCACCATACACTCCCAGTAATCGCGTTGCGGCCAACATTAAATTTCCATAAGAAAGTAACTTCTATACGAAAACAGACATCACCACATTCAAAGCAAATACTGACGACAAAGAATGCAGCTTCCATAGCCATGTCTCGGGGAAATAAGTACGGGTCTCGCTGGAGGGCGAGCCTCCAGAGGAGCCGACTTTATCAACAGATGCCACCTCTGATGCTACATGTATGTCTGATGTAGGCCGAGCTGCCTGGGGTCTAATATCGGCGAAAGCGATTGGGGCGTCTGCAAGATTTTCAGAGCAGCAAAAAATCGTGAGAAAAAATTTATGCCCGCTGGGGCGCAGGAAAACGTATGCGTTTTAAAAGCTTCCTGTGAGAAGCTGCCTCAGATATGCTTATTTTTGCTTGAAAACCAAAACAAAACAAATGGTTACAAATTTTTAGAATGCCTCATTCTTTATCAGACAACAAACTATTCTCACACTGCATTTACATGAAAGCAACCATCACGGTATTTAGAAAGTATCACTTTAGAGCGTAAGAATTTAATACGCTAATGGCAAATCTATTTGACCAGATTGTTATGATCAAAATGGTATCGAATATGAAGATATTCGGAAAAAAAGATGCTAGCTATCGGAGATGTTTAATAAGCAACCGCCCATACCGGGGCAAGGTAAAACCAGCCTTTTTCAATTTTCCACAACAAGGTCTTCGGAAAAAAAGATCCTTGACGAAATATTAGCACAGTCAGACGTAGACGCGTCGCTGTCCGAAGAACGTCGTCAAGTCCTGAGGTTTTCAAGCTATCGATAGCGAGGCAACCGCCGAAGAACACGTAGACCAGATAAGGGTGATACACTTGAATTTGTCTGCATGCCACGTTTTAAATGTAAAAACAAATATGGGGGTGCGCACCGAATGATGCAAAATCATCGAAAGTTAAAAAGTCAAAATTAATTTCATGAATTCTCGAAATTAATTTCTGGACTGCTCGTGAATTTCGAGCTCGATCGAGTACCGTAACTTGCCTTTCATTGCGGACGCACTAATTGTCGCCAATGCAATTCAGATTCAAATGCTTGGTAATTAGAATGATCGTCAGCCGAAAGAGACTTAAATGACGAAAGGCTTACGCAGCTAATTAATGGACTTCTGTGTTCAAAAATGAGTCTAAAATTTCAACTTGGTTTGGTTCAAACAAGACACCAAATCCAGCATAGAAAGTTCATGGACAAAATGCAACCAAACAACCTCTGGTTGAGTCGCATGCGGTTGAAGTATGGCGAACACAACTGAGTAACGTGGGATAAAACCACCGAGGAAGAAAGACTGTAATATGGTATTTACTCGTATACTGATTACTTTATTGCTTCTATATTAGATATGGTACACTGAACAAACCCATTATAAATATCCATGAACATTTAATTGGCAGGATTCGTGAATCAAACGAGGACACCAAAAAAATTTGTAATAATATATAATAATGAAAATAGTCCACGATAATATAATAATATATAATAATAGTCCACGAATTATATATTGGTATAATCGTGATTATTTTCAATGTGGATCCAAAACTCCGTAGCAATGAATGGTCATACAAGGAATAACTTAGTTCCAATTCTTGACATGAAGGTGGCAGCTCACAAAAGAAAAGATTACAGAGAAGAAAACTTATCCCTTACCTTGATATTGTTGGCACGGGCGCGTCTCCAACTTCAGGTCAGAGATCACGAACAATCCGGCTTCCTGATATTAGACAAGAAGTTAAAAATTATAGTAAGTAAGATTCAATTATATACCTCGTACTCAGGTAAAGGCAAAAATAAAATTGATAACCCATTAAAATCAACAAGTCAATTATGTATTTGCGTTCATTTATCACAGATATTTGACACTCAAAACAAGAGGTCGTTTACTTGCGACTCGAGACACCCGTACAAGTGACAGAAAAGAATATAAGAAAACCATTCTACATCCTAACGCACAAAATTCATCGCAATAATGCAACGCAAAATATAACCCAGAATTACATTAGAACAGCAAAAGAGATAACAGGCAGAAATTCAATCTTGAAATAAATAAAAAATACAAATATCGAAGCACCTCGCCAAAAAATGTTCCGCACATTTGGCTATTAGTTTTCTAGTTTTTTTTTCTAAGAAACTCACATCGAACATTTTGAGGGCATCCACCATGTCGGAATTATATCGGTTGTAATGCCAGGGCCAAGGCGCGATGCTCCTCCTGCTACGAGTTGTAGTCTCGCCGCCAGCAGCTGTGGCTGGCACTGATGGGGTCTCGCCAGGCACCACGACGGTCTTGTCATCCTTCCCTGACTCCTTCTCGGGAGTCTCGGAGTTGGCAATCGGTTCATCTTGTGCAGGCTCGTCCGCGGGCATGAACGGCACAGGCCGAGGTAGAGGGATGGGTATGGGACCCGGAGGCGATGGGTCTGAATAACAGCACAAAGTCGTAAATTGTAATCAAAATCTTCAAACCTTCCAAGCAATAATACATTGGGAAGAGTACTTTTTACAAGCTCGCAATCATCGTTCGTTTATTGCAATAATATAATTGTCAGATTTATTATGTTTACTTTCATGATGCTTAATGTTACTAAGTAACAGAGTTTCGTCTTTTTAATTGGCCTCACTACTCTGCTAAAATATTCATACATTACAACATTGACCCTATATGTACCGATATATATTCAGTCGTTCATACAATTCGTATTTAAAGGGCTGGTATCATGAGTTACCGTCAATACACTGAGAATTAATTGACTGTCACCTGCAGGGTTAGCCTCTGGAGGATTCAACTTGCGGCAGTATTCGTTGTTGTCGATTTGTGACTCTTCCCACGACCGCACGTTTGCCTGCTCAGCGAGCTCAAACACGGCATCCAGTGTGAGCGAGTTCTGCGACGCTGATAGCAGCTCTACGCTCTTGTCCACAATACCTGGCGATCGAATATAAAAGACAGTGTATCGTTACCGAACATAAAAGACAGTGTATTGTTATCGAAGAGTGCATTGTTATAGAACATAAATTTACAAGTAAATGCGAATACCACTAGAGAGCAAATTGGTTCCAATTTACGAAGTTCTACCACGAAATGTTACACGAAAATCATGACCTACCGAGACTGCAGAGAGAATTTGGTTGGGCGGTGAGTGTGAGGGGAAGCTGCGTGCCTTGCTCGACGCGGTCCTTGGGCCACGACAGACCAACTTTTTGGTTGAGGCACTTGCTGATCTTCAGCTCTTGGGAATCTGACACGACCTCACCGTCGTCGCGAGTGTACCATACCAGCACCTGCATAACACATGGCAAAATCAGGGAATTAGTAAACGTAAAAATACGTATGTATTACCTATCAAAATTACAATGTTACATTGTACAGTGATTCAACCCCTTGATTGATCAATTAAAAATTTCTGGATAATCATAACGTCTATGGGATGAATGCTGTTTTTAAATCAGAAAAATCACTCATAACTTCTGCAAAAAAGTTAGACCTGAAACGTTTTCAGGACATGAGAATGACCAACTATTACGTACTTCTAGAGTTGGAATCGATTAGAATTTGTACCCATAATAACAATCTGAAATTAAGTATGCCTCACGTAAACAGTAGGGGTGACTCACGTAAACAGTAGGAGTGACTCACGTAAACAGTAGGGTGGACTCATGTAAACAGTAGGGGGGACTCATGTAAACAGTAGGGGTAACTCANTGACTCACGTAAACAGAAGAGGTGACTCACGTAAACAGTAGGGTAACTCACGTAAACAGAAGGTGACTTACGTAAACAGTAGGGGTGACTCACGTAAACAGTAGGTGATACGGTGGACGGCAGAGTGAGGGGTAAGGTGAGAGCCCCGCGTTTGGTGAAGGGTGACAGAGGAGGCTGCATGGGTGCCAGCAAGGTAGCTGCATCAATGGGCAGCTCCGTCGCCGTCAATTTTACCTTTTGACTGTCCCAAAATTGAATTTGACCTCTCGATACAACCTGCAATAAGTAATAGTTATCGAAATGAAATGATCTATCTTATTGAAATGATCTATCTAATTGAAATGATCTATCTTATTGAAATGATCTATCAGTAACACATAAAAAAGTCAAACTAGCGAAAATATTTCCGAAATCATTGTAAGTTTTCGGCTAATAATATGACCTCGTGTTGCATGGTGAAGATGGTGGCAGAACACCGACTAACCTGGACATAGAGGGTAGCCTCAGTCATGTTGGCAAAGGCATACATAACAGGGAGCTGCAGCTGGATGCTGCTGCCAGGAGTACAGCTAAGCTCTCTGTTCTCAGGGTTGATGAGCAGCGAAGAATTGGTGGGAGAGAAGTAGCGGGTGGCGTAGGCGTTGGTCTGAGACTCGTACATGTAGGCGCGTGTAGAGTTCTCTAGGTCACGTCGAGGGTAGTTCACTGCCTTGATCTGCAAGTCATAGAATATGATTGCAATTTAGAGGAGAGTCGTAGAACATGATCACTATTTAGAGTTGATAAAATAAAATAGCGATGAGTAAAGTTCTTGGACACGAAAGAGCAAAACATAATTCAAGTTGGAGCCAGTTTCTTGGCAAGGACTCGCAAAAGAGCAAATGACATTAGACTGAATACTGAAAACTTATCCGCAAGACTGCAGTTGCGAATAAAAATAGTTTAGGTATATTTCTTAAAAAGCAAATCAAGGATTTCGCCGAGGGGCTTGCGTTTGAAAAATTGAACCGAATTTTTAAAATATTACAGAAACTTCCTGGTGGCATGAACAGTAAAAATTAAAAAGCATGAGAAGTACAAACTTTAGTCTCTTGTTAATTACCAAGACTAAATAATTATCTGTAAACAAGTGCTAAATCAAAAGCGGGGAGCACATCTTTCAACAAATTGAATATCGCATCGCAAGGCACATCTCAAAGTAGACAGCCAATTTCACGCAAGATATACAGGAAGACAAAGTGAGCAGTTGAGAGCGAGACCTCGGCATTGTGCTGATGTAGGTGCGGAGGCACGGAGAACTGCAGGCGCCCAGTAGCGTCCGTGGTGATGTTGCGGCACACGTCCCCGGCACACACCGTCATCGGCTCGTTGGCTGCGGGGCGACCGTCGGGGAACTCTGCTACGAACTGGAATATTACAGAGCAACATTAGTCTGGGTTAATGGAAATAAAAAATTAATTTTAAACGAGGTAATTAATCGTTAAATTTCAGTGTTTCTCAAAAATATTTAGGTCTGAATACCGGTATTAGAGAATCGTCAGGATTGCAAGAAAATGAGACCTGAAAATTTTCCATTCATATCAGACAAAAAATAAAAATACAAAGAAAATGTCTAGAATCTGTCATTTCAGAAACTAAATTTGACTATTTGTGCTTCATCATTAACTCGGCGAAGCCATGAGTGTCGAGAAAAGGATACAGATATTATAACAGAACATCATAACGTTGGACTCACAGAAGTGGTATAAGGCAGCTCCGGCTTCTTGAACTCGGTAAAGCCGCTGTTTTTGAAGGTGAGGACAGTGCGAGTGATGGAGATCGATGTACTCTCCTTGATAACGACTCCCGTGCCTTCTTCCTCTACCTTGACATCCACCTGCATGCTGTACGCATAGTAGTTGGGACTGTTGATGTCGAACGATCGAAGCGGAATCTCGAGAGTTTTGCAGCCCACCAACTGAAACAACAATTTCTGTTACAGGAGTTATAAACCATGACCATCTACCTGCAAACTGAGAATTATTAATTTCATAACCAAGTTGCAGATGAATCAGTCTAGTGAAATTAATGCAAACCTTACTTCAAGTATATTCAGAAAATTTGCCAAGTTTGATTTTTAACAAAGGTACAGGACAGTGATCTAGCATCGGTAATTCAAAAAGCGTCCATTAACGCTTAAATTAATGAGGTTTAATATTTGTGGATTCATTACGGAAACTCGTTGACTAATGCATCACGCATTTTAAATATCATCAAATAACTGAGATGTATAAATCAAAGCTACTTGCCTGGTCCTGGAAGTTCATTTCGACTTTATAGCGACCCCAGGCATTGTTGTTAATATTCAGAGACACGTTGCCGCGAACTGGCTGACCGAAGGTGTACCTGTTTGATCATATTGAAATTAATTAAGATGATTGCGGTGAAATAATAAAATTAACCAAGACGCATTACGCAATAGCCAAGAAGTCTTTTGAGACGGATAACATTAACGTTGGAGACACACGACATTTTCTCTTAACCAAATAGATGACGGTACTCGTAAAATATTGAATTTAATAGCGCGTGAAACGGAATGATGAAAAAAATGGCACTGTGACAGAAGATTTTCAATTCGAATGTGAGCAGGCAATTCTGATGCTATGAAATATTGCAACACTGTTAGGGAGACAAGCAACAGAAATTACATAGCTACAAATCTAAATGCAAGTGCCTCTGATCCCAAATTTCACTGAAAAAATGGCCGAAGATCATCAATGAATAAAGGACCACCAAATTCACAAATGAATAAAAGACCATCAAACTCACAAGTGAATAAAGGGAACAGTAATTGACTACACGCTGCAGTATTACAACTTCAAAAAATTGAACTGCGAAGACACGAGGACTGAAGGACGAAAATGTGCCACGTCAGATCTAATGATTGGGAGCAGCGCGTCAGTGCGGCACAAGTCACGCAACAATCCTTCAAGGTCAACTCAAACACTCGTCCATCCAACACTACCGATGATATCACTAGAACATCTAACAAGAATTAGGAAAATTGCAGGATATTGTGTATTTAAAATAACCAAGTTGGTAGCTGGAGTATCATTGCAAACATTGCAATGCAAGCAATTGTTAAAAATAGAAGACACTGTCATCGATTTGCCTGAAAAATTATGTGCCCTGTGAATGAATATTATCGTAATATAATTTAATAATCATTGAATAATATTGTTGTTGGAGGAGTAAATTACATAAGTGATAAGAAACCTATTTCTGCCCCGTATTAGTTTGAGACTAACTACAAAATTATGAGGAGTTTCATTTCAAATTAAGCAAACTTTTCGACCAGCGTATGACAGACCAATCAAGAATAAGACTAATGTTTCCTACAAACAAATCGCGAGCCTTTTTCAACGAATATCATATTATTCAAACTGAAATATTTGAAGACAGTACTATATAAATAAATCAATAAATTTGCCCTCAGAGATAAAATATCCGATTGCATCCAGTCACGGCAATGATCGAGCCACGAGCTTCTCATAGACTCATACTCACTGAGCGCAGACTTCAAATTTGAGCAATTTAGCGTCAGCCAAGATGTACGGAGGAGGCTTGAGTGTGACTTCAAAGCGAGGCAGGACGTAGTCTTCGATCTTGAATGACTTGCTGGTCTTTTCGACCCCTCCTGTTGGCTGCACCACGATGTTGTAGGTGCCCTGACAACAACAACTATGACTTTAACTTCGCTCCAAATAACCAATACGAAATTTTTATTCGTCTATTCGACAAAAAAACTTTCAATAATCACTAAAATTAGCACTTATGTTGCACTTATGATTACGCCTATGGTAACATTGAAGACTTGTTGATACTTTAATAAACTTTGTCAGCAAACTCAGAGAGGATTTATCTGTAATGGAAGTGACGTGCATAAATTAACGGGTTTCCCTACCACAACTCGATGGTTTATTAAAGGCTGGAAAAAAAACATATCAATGACTTGCCGAATTCAGGAGTCTATTCTATTCAATTCAATTTTTCATGCGCTTGAACCTTATCCTCGACTAATATAAGCAAACGCGCATAATTTCCCACCGTGAATGAGCAAAAAATTTTCCCAAAATCATCCCGAAAATTAATGAGCAAAAAGGGTGCTTAGAATTTGTCCTTATGCTTATAAAGTTTGTACATTAAGTTCGTGCTTTCACGAAGTTGTCATAGATATATACTCAAACTTCTCTGTAGTGTGCAGTTCAATTATTTACCTAGGAATGCTGAAGTATTTATACTTTGCCTATCGATGCATAAGAAAATAAAAACAGAAAATTTAAGAACAAAACTTTACCAATGTTTGGAAGTAACTATATTTCGGAGTACTGTATCTATGACGCAGGGATTGCGATGCAGTTCTGGGCCTATACTTTTATATATAAAGTCAAGAGATCGTAAGTACATCAGCCAATCATGGACAGCATTTCAAGCAAAATCCACCAATCGTAGACAAGAAAATAGAGCGTAAGTACTCACGTTCACTTAGCGAGTTTTGAAATTATGGCCCCTGCTGGAGTGATGATTTTCAAGAAAACTCGGCCTACTATCCTCCTCACCTCCTCAGGTTCGTCAATGAGCTGCAGGTCGAGATGGATCTCAGCCTATCCTCCTTACCTCCTCAGGTTCGTCAATGAGCTGCAGGTCGAGATGGATCAAGCCGGACGGGTTAGCAACGTCCAGCCATTGTGCAATGCGGGAGCCGGATGGCGTCTCTATGAAGATTTCCTTGTACTGCAGAAAAATATCAACGCTCAACTAATTCATGTAGCAATGAAATAAAGATGGTTAATACAAAGACGAAAACTTCTCATTTTTGATTAGGATTTTTAGAAATTAATTTAATCACTAAAGCTTAATTAGGTGTATTTAAAATCCGAAAACTATCATTAATGGCTGACAATTCGTACGGGGTAAAATTGTTTTTCAGTCAAAAATATTAACAAGTCTTTCATCTCCAATAAATAATATATTTTGAGCGGATTTCGAATAAACGGTATTCGCGGTAAAACAATTATTCAGAAAGGAGCTAGTACATACACAAGGCGGTACAAGAAGTCGTAGTATGAATGAAGAGTAAAGAATACGGAAAGTGATTGATGAAGCAGGGCTAATGCACCAGCGAATAAGATTTATGTAACAGCAATGTAATCAAAAAGAATGTTTACAGTCGATTTCTATGCGATTATCAATCAGTTAAGACGATTTGTTTTAATGATGGCCTTTGGGACTAGACGTTATATGAACAACCATCAGTCGTTCCAATAAATCAATTCTGAAAAAATCATCCACTCAGTTGACGAAGCCTAAAATATTTTAATTACAGTGGAAATCTCTTAAAATAAGAGAAATGCAAGCTTCTGCACGATACCATTAAGGAAAATAAATGGTTGACACAACTCTGTGAATGCTGTTGAAAAAGGTAGGATACTAGCCACGTTTTCTCTACAGAAATTTAACCTATCCCAATAAAAAGTATCGCGCTTTTACGAATGTTGTTAGCTCAGACGTAGGGCGGATATATATATAATGCAACAAGCATCGTTACTAATCAGTAAAGCTTAAGCCAGCCAGAGCAGAGTCAACAACAACACGATATCTCAAGCAACCAAATACAGAAATTGCATGAAAAAAAATAAAACACAAGTCTTTTACCCCTACACAAAACTTATTGGTAAATATCAAGAGTCACAGGTCGGGATGTTAAGTAGGACAAACAAATCTTTTTGTTATTGTTTCAGGATGCCAATAAGTTGCACATCCGTTGTGTTAAAGATTACTGCTGTCGGTAAATTTTTTTCCTCTGCAAAGTCTGGGGAAATGTTTTGACCGGCATACAAAGATAATTGAGATAATTAAGATAACTGGGAACGTTGCGACTTACAGGAAGCGTAGACACTTTGAAGAACGGTCCCAGCAGAGTAAGCACTCGGAATTGCACTTTCTGCGCCGCCTGCAAGAAAAAAAAAACATGGCACGAGATGAGCTGTAGAGTTTAAAAAGCTTATTCCGTTAATTTGTTATCAGTTTATCCGTTTCTTCAAGTAAACAAAGTCCTGGATAGAACATACTATAATTCCATAGAAATCCTTCGAAACTATAGCTCAGGTAATTGTAAATTAAAGAAGAAAATGATACATTTCAATATCAGCAGAACATAAATGTTTCAATAAGAATTTTGTTCTAAGCATAGATCATGGACGAGCGGGTTAGAAAATCCAGACAAAACATAGTAAGTTTATTGATGAGCGAGCAGAGGCATGCACTCTCGTGGTCACGTATTGAGAGGGTCGAGTACCTCTCATGGGATGATCAATACACGCGAGGCTCGTTATACAATGGCCATCAAACGAACATCACAATGGCTTGTGCCTCTAGATGCGACGGACAATGAATCTCCACTGACATTCAATGACAGAGACGATAGAATACCTATCAAGATTATCTGGCCATAATCAATAATGTAATGGAGGATTTAATGTCATTGATTGCATTGTTGCATCTTGAAAAGTGAGCAGAAATGAGAACAAATAATATAGCAATCAACATCATCGAAGCAGAGATATCAGTATACACATTTTTGTAAGAATTCTTAACGTAGATTAGACAATGGCAACAAGCTCTTATGCCAAAAATTTGAAAAATTACCTAGATTTGTAAAAATCAATCATTTCATTATTAAAATTTTTATTAAATTATATTTCAGCAGTTGCTGTACAACGCTCGTCAAAAATCCCGTCATATGGCACGTGGCCATATACAGGCGAGCATTAAGCCGGAGCTATTTACATCACGAATCCCCATAGGCAACATATATCCACAGACTTCAATCTAATGTTCTTCTATCGCAGGTTTTACCAACTAGCTTACACTCTAATAGGACATAACCTGGTTAAAAATATATGATGTAAATCCAAAACTTGTTTTTTTTTTTCGTAGTAAAATGAGGTTTACCTTCTCAGTCGTTATTCAGCCTTGAAGCCAAGTCATTTTTCAAACCTTTTTGTTTCTGTGAATAGAGTAACTGTCATGGTTGGCCCGTTACGTTTCTTACCTTGTAAAGATATTTGTCGGTCTGAATGAAGACTTTGCCAACGGACTCCTGGATGCGGATGGTTCTAGTTTCGTTGACATCGACTCCAGCGAGACGTCCGTTGACCCGGACCTCCGCGTACCGGTCCGTCGTGGCCGGCAGCTGAACTTCGTCGCACGACAGCGCCGAGTCTGGGTATAGTTAATATAACAATTGTTTGATGAATATTGTCGTATAAGAAATATTAAAAGAGTTGCAGCTATAAAATGCAAATTAGTGCATGGTGCGGACATACCAACTGATTTGGGGTTTCATAATTTAATATTTGGAGTGTGATACGTACAACATAGCAATTGGTCCAAGTTTCGGACATACCTAAGAATCCATAGTATAAATTCAATTAAGTTATCAAGAATTAATATATGAAGAACAAAGGAGTTTTCTACTCGAGGAAAATACCGCACGGGTGACATATGAAGACTTCAACAATAAATAAATTATGCTGCTGTCGAGATGATAGTATAAGACATATGCACTTGGGAAGGAATGCTGCCGAATAAGCAACCCTTTAAAACTAAACTAGGGAAACCGAATGGGCGTCTCTTAGCGACAGCAGAACTTGAGAATGAAGGATACAATTAATTAGGATAGGAAGAAGAGAGGATAGATGCTCTCTGTAAGACCGCCTCATTTAACTCGTTTAAGTCACGTCAAAAACGCAGAATAAGCGGGCATAGCAACTGCAACCAGTTTCCGAGCCAGACCACAAATTGGAAACAAGTGCAACCCGACCAGCGGCCAAGCAACTCGACCTTTAACCACAAAGAAAATCGAGAAAGTACAAGGAGGCCAGAGGTCTTATATCTGAGGAGCAGACTTCAGTTCAGAAAAGCCGGTGAAAGCGTCAGCTAAAAAACCGGTGCTGAATCGGAGTTCGCGCCAGCCGAATCAAGCAAAACAAATCGGTTGGCACAAACATGAGAAGAAACGATTAAAAGAAGGAAGTAAAAATGCACACGAAATCCCAACTTCTTTACCAACGATTATCTTTATTAGGGTAAGCAATTTTCTGGAAAAGAAATATCACGAAATATAATTATATATTATCCCTAGGAATTGAATCACAAAAATTTAAAAAGGCAGTCAAAATCAAAAATAACTCGATGTTAAGTGCTTAGCTAGCGGTCTCAGATCATTACATGTGAATGTCAAGACAATTCCTTTAGCACCTGAGACTAAACTTAGATTATTATTATTATTATTATTATTGTTATTGTTATTATTATTATTATTATTAAATTATTGCTTAGAAATAAATTCGGAATGAACCACGAATCTTTCAAATAAGTTTTAAATTAATGAAAAATTATTAATAGCGATTTATGCCTTAAAATTTCAATGCTGAAATAAATCAAGTTCTAGCCTGCAAAGTGATCACCGTACGCAAGAATACAGCTCGAAGTCCCAATAAGTCCCGACCTAAGGAACGCGTTCATAACACCGAGACATGTACCGAAAACCTAATTTACAAGCACGAAGAAATGAACACAAGCCAACATATTATTAGTACTAGAATGACTTGAAATACAAGTGTATTTCGTAAGCACTGGGATATTTACCAAAAACAATGATAACTAATACATGAGGATGAGCCACAACAATCAAATTTAATCCGACTCACATATAATCCGACTTAAAACTACGACACATTTCATAACACCTATTTAACAATCCTGTGCATCAAAGTATAACTACTCACCTCCATGAGGCTTGAACTGACGATCTGCAATTAGAACCTTTCTGTCCTTCACTGGCTCGTCTTCAGAATTGAACCCAAACCAAGGGCGACCGCCCCCGCTTCGAGGGCCAGCCCCTTCAATGACCTGCATGGTTATAGCGTCGTCGGGGGCCGCCGGGCTGTCGAGCGCGATACAAATCTGCGACCGTGCTCCCACCGACCATTTGCGTGGCCATGTCAGTAGATAGCCTCTGTTGAGAGGGATAAAGCAAATCATTACTTCGATGGTTGGTGATTTGCATGGCTACGTCAGTAGATAGCCGCTGTAGAAAGGGATAAAGCCAATCATTACTTCGAGGGTGGACCATTTGCATGGCTATGTAAGTATACTGCCTCTGCAGTGAGGGATAAAGCAAATGATTACTTCGATGATTTTCGGAATCACGGCCGTGAACCACGGGGATGGATAAAAGTTCGACTTTCGAGCCTGCCGTCATTATGAGACGAGAGGCTTGCTGGCAAAAATGTTTACTAAATAATTTCTAAATATAATCAGTCTATTCCTTCATGTCGAGCGTTCATGCTCCTAAGCTTGTGTGTGCAAATAACCAGCAGGTATTGCAACTCTGCATTTGCGATGGCAAAAACTTTCTATCTGGTTTTGGCTGTTCGTGTTTTTGTCAACTTAGGAATTGATTTCACTTTTTTCTGTAAAAATTTCACCAAGGCATCCAAAAATCAATTTTATTTAAACGTTTCTATGACTTGAGGAAACGAGCTTCAATTTAGCGAACAATTTTTCTCCAGAGAACAAAAATGCTCATCATTTCATCATCTTCGTTTCAATATTCACGCTTTTTAATAAATCAACGCTGAAATAAAGGTGACCAGACGCCAGCCTGCAATGCAGAGTGACGGTCAGCTTTGATTAGAGAAGGCCAGCATGACAGTAACTTGACCAGTCAGGAGTCAAGCAATCGCCTCTCAAGAGGACACACTCTAAAGTAGACAAGCCAGCCATTCACTGGTGCTAAGTGCAGCATTGCCATAACCTCCTTTATCTGTCATGTAAAGATTTCTTGAAAGCATTCAAAGGTTTAGCTCGGCCGAAGCACAACCGGTTTAGATCTTAAGACTTGGTCAATATTCGCCGTCTATCGGCTGGTCAAAAAACTGGCTTTCACCTCTAGTTGAGCATCAAATTTAACTATGGCCAAGCAGTATTAAAATGAAGAACTAAAACTTTGGGCCGAAGTTGCTTGCTTACGAAATTAAGAGAACGTATGAGGTTTGAAGAATTCATCTAATTCATGTAAAACACAAATTATCAACCAATATGAATACAACTAGGTTCACATAATTTATTTCAAATACGCGCAATATTCAATCTGACATGCACCGAATCGACATTTATTTATACATTTAGGTTTCCAACATGAACTGCTCCAAAATCTTATTTTCGATTTTCCATAAAACTTCGTTCAAGAGGTATAGTACTCATCGTACAGATATATTCGAATGATATATTCAAAAATCCGTTATTATTCATCCACCAGCAGCACGGCGTTTCAACAATTCAAGATATATCCGAATCAACATTACCCTACCAACAACCCTTGTAAGTTTAGCTGCTAGCCCCAAACAAAGAGAAGATGAAGCTAATTAACAAAAGGAACTAAGAATCTTGCAAGTGGGAACTAATCTTCATTTGTACCAACGCTGAAGAGATGCGTTGTGGGATATTTTCCTAGTACTCACGCAAAATATACAGGACCTTACATTTCCCAGATTTACAAAAGAATATATTAATTCGTTTTGACCTAGCACAGTAACTATTAATTTTCAAGAAAGTACAGAACTAAAAAATTTTTGCGATGATGCAAGTTAAACTACACCGAAAGTAGGTACTCTTATTTAGAGTTTTCCTGGAATGCTACAGGTACCTAATGTAAAATTGAAACCACACCAATTATTTATACATTTTTCCGGGACTTAAAAAGCTAAACCATGACATCAAGTTCGTATTTTTCGATGGCCTAATTTATTCAAGCACTATTCATCGAAAGCACAAGATAACAATTAATCAAACGAACAATTTATTGTTACCATATGAGAAGTAAAGGTATACATGTATATGCTAAATTGCTCGAACGTTGCTCGCCGTTGCCCAAGCATGTGCAAAATGGGGAATCCCAACGATCCTCAATCAGTCTATGCAGCAAGCGTAGCCACCATGACCATCAATCAGAGGTCACCAGATATATACAGGTATTTTGCTTATTTACTATCAATGAAGCGAGTCTAACAAAATATTCAGCTGGAAATATTTAATCTTACAACATTCAGCAAATAGTTCGTGCGACAGATATAGCAATGGTAATTGGTAACAAATGAAAAAAATTGTCACAAATACCTAACTCCCCATACGCGGCCGCAAACTTACTTCACCCCTCAATTTACACTAACATACACAAGATTAAAATTTCATAGGCCAGGTTTTCACCTCTGTATTATTAATAATAGTCAGTCTAGAAATTTATTGTAATTCTTCCCTCTAGATCGTTTTAGCGTGGGTCAGAGAACAAAGCAAAGCTCAAGCTGAACGAAGGACAAATTGAATAGAGCCAGCGAAGGTGTAGACGTGTAGGTAGTCCTGTAGTGAATTTAGTCCAAGTTTATGACAAATCTACTGCAGCAGCCGATCAATCCTTAAGTAAAAAATTAAACAATGTGTTACTCATAACAATTCATGGTTTTTATGAACGAATATAATCTAGCTTTTAGCGTAAATATTGATAGTATTTGATCCTACATTCTTCGCGGGTTTAATGCAGAATGAAAAGTTTGCTTCCAATTACAAGATATTTGTTCGATTTTATTAATAGAATTACCGTAAAAATAAGCATATAACTAGTTCGAATTCGAAAAGATAAAATATAGATAACTATCAAAAATGAGTAAGCTGTGAGGTAGCGAAATTTACAACTTAATTTTTTAAGTGTGGCGGATAAATTACACGAGTTGTTTCTTAGCCATTTCGACTGGAAATGGACTTACCATGCAAAAAAAAAGTCTTTTACGCCTGAGTTAGTTTCTATACGCACCCAATAGCTGACTGTAACACACAAAGGAAGAGGAGTGGCACCACGCCACCGCTCAATGACTGCAGCAGCATAGCAACCGTTCAGAGAACAACAAAAGTTACAACCTAACTATACGCCGCACGGCTCTCAACTGAGCCTGAGCCCTGAGGTCTGCCTGACTGACTGAGAAGCAAGTAGCAAGCGATAAAAGGAACACACTCAACACCGCTCAGCCACGAATGGATGCGCTCGCAGACGCCGCAGCTTGTTTATCCTTGCCCGCTCTGTCCGTCATTTGTTGTTAGCTGTGGGTCGGGGGGACAGGGGCAGAGATTCTTAGAAATCACATGCAGGGCTTATGTGATTACTATGAATTGCTTCTGCCTGTAGAATAAACGAACGTCACTCATTTCGAGTCTACTAAACATGTGAATGGAAGTGTTTTTCTTCTACAGGCTTCTAGGTCACCTACCTTTATTTGTACGATAAAAGACAATAATTAAATAAACGCGTGACTGTGTATTGCCTCAGTTTTCCTGGAACCAAACGAATGCATAAATTCATATTCTACGCCGTACATCAGACCAATCAGGCGCACCAACGTCCCACGTGACTCTGATGCGACCGGGATTACCAATCATTGTAAGCTACTGTGTACCACTGCTGAACGTGCTTATAATAATAATCATTGAGGGAGGAGTGTCTCGCACCGGAAACCAGCTTAATTCAGGAAGGGAGCTCGTGACGTGGGAATGCCGAATACAACAAATAGTTATAGAGTCTGTGCTAAACCAGCCAGTAGTTCCCGACTGAAAGTCAGTTTGAACAAAAAGAAACAGTAACTCGAACACAGCCACAAAAAAATTATTAATGTGATGAGAATCAATGGGTTATTTTTTCGCATACCTCAAGCGTAATATAATGTAAACAGATTAAATCAGGTCACAAAACAAATAAATTCGTAACCAATTAACCATATAAGAATATGGTTATGGCAAATATAAGCTATTTGCCGTTTGTATAATCCTAACTACAGCGAACGTAAATGACTACGAAGTCACCTCCATCAGAAACGACCAATTCTTATGAACGAAAGTGAACCATAACATTCTAGCGAACAACACAGCTTCGTAGTTATTATGTTGCAATCGAACCCTATAAATCATAGGGTTAAAATATATTCAGTGCTTAATAACAATGAACAATTTATTACTTATGCATACATAGAGTAAAGACTTTTTATCCTTTGCAAAATATGCGTTATAGTAGAAGAAACTCTGCATACATGATTTGGCACGGTTCGCGAGTAGTAGGTTGGGATGTAGAAGAGAAATGTGGATATATTGGCACAAGCCAGTCAATAAACTCGTATCTGATGGATAGGAACTTTTTTGCGTCAAAAAAGGATGGATGGAAAGCATCAATGTTGAAAATTCAATTTATATCGAATATGGACTTCAATACTTTTTAGTACGAAGAAAAGGGTCACGAAGCCTTTAAGTAAAAGTATTTCCGTCCTTAACCTTCTTGTAACGTTTGTCTATTTTCTCTTTAAACGTTGAATTACGTCCAGGAAAGAATTCTTGCTGGAAGAATCAACGAGTAAGACCTCCCATAGCAGTGGCAATACATTCGAGGATGAGTGACTGACAATTAACTGAAAAAATTTTTCAAGTCCTGCTTTGTTATCTGGAGTCCAACTGAATTAGCTATAGTCTTGTGCTTCTTGGATTCGAAAGCAGGAAAATGTCAGGTTTCGGAGAAGTGCACCCCACATGCCAGTCAGCCATTATGAGCGAACTGCGTGCTGCTCCACGCTGCACAATGGCTAATGCGATTTGCGAACTATGTTGGTTTTTCCCCATTGTATTTTAATGCTCGGAGGCGGAAAATTGTAAGTTTAGCAACAACTATAAAAGCTTAAATTCACCCAATCGAATTAATATTCAGTTAGTTCTTGCAAGTAAAGGCATATTTGAAAGTAAACTAAATTGAAAAATTAAAAAGGTGACTGAACGAAATCGGGGATGCTTGAAATCCTACACAGGTTAGTTACAACCTTGAAACAGCAAATAATTTCTAGCAATTTCAGAGGGAACGAGGAGCCTTAAATGAAGCTAATAGCCTCAACATGACGAAAAATGAAGAACATGAGTGAGCTTTTAAGGTTTCAGACTCACAGGACGCTAATAGTTGATACGCTGTGCAACTCCATTCATTACTCCCGCCCCGACATATTTGGGACGAATTTTTTAAAAGGAAATTTCGGGACTAAGTTTATAGCGCTCATGCAGCAACCTTTGCAAGCATAGCTTGTCCAATCGCAACACTTAGAATTTCAGAGTGAGTCAACGCGCTTCAGCGAACGTTTTAAATTTTTTTTGTCGACATTGTTCTTAATTAGCGCCCTAAACATTGAGTTGTTCACACTTTACACGCCTATAAAGTAACTCCCACTAAGCACATAAAAAACGCGTTAAGGGCTCTACATGGAACGAAGTGGACGAAAAACTCTTGACATTGTTTGCTTATGGTAATGTGAATAAAAAGTTTCGTTGTTAACTAAGCTCGGATCGATTTTGATTTGAAAAATATATGCTAGAAAAAAAGTACTAAAACTTAGCGTCTAGCGCGCTGAATAGAAATGAAACGGATGAAAAAAATCTAAACACGCTCGCAGGAGCGTATTGTGAATAAATTGCTTTGATGCCAATGTGGTTAAGTTCCTTTTTGGATTTACAAAATTGTGCAAGGAAAGTGCGTTGCATGAGCGCTGTTTAAATTCACCAAATCGACACTTTTCCTACCTCATCCGCGAACTTCGTTTTGGTCGACACTATAAAGATTAATATCGCTGCTTCTTGCTTAGAATAACAACAAGTTGTAAATTTCAAAGAGATCCGTCAAGAATTGAAGGGCTCATAGGCTGTTCAGTTGCGTTTTGCGTGTGAGTCCGCAAAGTTCGCGGGTGAGTCCTGAGAAGTTGATTAGGAAAACCCTTCTAAAAACGTGGGAAATTCCGAGCGCTATAGTATGGCCACGAACTTGCACAACTGTAGGGAGGGGAATAAATGTGCGTAGCGAGGGATCTAGCAAAATAAGACTTGAGAACAGAAGAGCGATAGGTACCAAAGAACAAAAGTTTTTTCGCTGAAAACCAGTGAGAATTTTTTTAAAATAGCAATTCACTTTTTTCGCAGTGTGGATCACCTTAGCATCTAAAAGGGCAATGTTTGGTGCAATGTATTCCTGCCGTGGGTAATAATTAAAGTGTGTCACTGTTTGGACAAAGTAACATCTTAATTTTATGAGTGTATATACTAAGTACTATAGCGTTTTCTAGTACAGTAAGCATCTGCATTGTCAGGCATCTGCTGCGAACTGTCCGAGTCTATAACGCGCCACTAGCAACTATCGGCATGTTATAGTAGCAATGTAATGAATATGAATAGTAATGTAATGTAATATATCCCAAAGTAATGATTTCAAGAAAGCGCGAGCGTTTGAATTTTGCGAAAGGCGACTATGATAAACTCCGTGAAGCAGTGAATGCAGTGAATATTTCGAACTGTATTAAGGACATGAATGTGGCTGAGTCATGGTCATTTCTCAAGGACACGGTTATGTCTGCAGTAGATGCGTGTGTACCTAAAATTAAGCTTGGTGGGGCCAAAAAAACTCAGTGGATGAACAGTACAATATACTAGCTAAGCTGAAAACAAAGAAGGAAGCATACCAGCGTTATTTACAGACTCGTAGCAATGATGACTATAACCAATTCGCATGAGGTCGAAATCAAGCTAAAGAAAGCTGTCGCACCGCAGTAAAAACCCTCGAAAAAAAAAATATTTCTAAAAATTCAAAAAAGAACCCGATATCCTTCTTTTTGCACGCTATCAACGAAAGATATCCTCTGACGAGGGCAAGGCTAACGTTCTTAATCAGATTTTTAGCAGCGTATTCACTGAAACGGACTTGAACAGTATTCCAGCTATTGAGGAGCGCCCAGTCGGCTCTAAATTAACAAGTTTTGAAATACAAAAAGAAAAGGTATGGCGACTTGCATTCGACGAATGCAATCCACTCACAAATGTGATTGGCGAATTTCATATTCTCTCAGGAATATCTAATGAATACCAGTTACAAAGTGAACAAATTAAAACTACGGAAGTGCACCTCTGTTGTTCACGCGCGTACTGCAAATTTAAGCGTAACACATTCCTGAATCATTCATCACAGAGTGTACTTCAACAAATAAAATGATCTAAATGTAAAAATCAACCTTGTGAATCAAGTCACTAAAAGTACAAGAATCTGCAACAGGCCATGGGCCTATTTCTTCAGTGCCGACACTTCGATTCTATTCCGTTCCATGAACCATGAAGTGATGTGACTTGCTATTTTTTTCAAATTTGCAATGTATATGTTGATATCGTGGCATCATCTATAACGGGAAATTTTAAAAGAGTATCAAGATTCAGATGCAGTAAATGAAAAATAGAATATGCCCACTTTATTTATGGTATTTAATTTTACGACAGGGGTTTCTTCCCAAGGCACGTGATGAGCATTCTTTCAACTAAGTAGTATATCATAATTAAATCACAAACAAAAACTCACTAAAGCCTTTGGCACGTGTTTAGATCATAGCATTTCTTTCCGACTACCGCTGCATTCTCAAGTTATCTGACTGATCTAAGACTCGCGTGACCTGTCATCCAAGACGACCAAAAATTATATCCAAACTTCAGATATGATTCCAATGAAAAATTGCACTCAAGCCTTTTTCACGCGTCTACGTAGTACATTTTTTGTGCTTAATAATCTTGTTCATTAATTATAGGGCCATTAGGTTTTACCATATTTATTCAGAAGTGTCTTTTAAAGGTGCCTGTACACAGGGATAGTACTAGCCGCTAGTTCGTCCGGCGCTTGAACTGTCCACACTACTAGCCTCGTGTATAGGGGTTCAGCCGCTTCAGAGGCATGCCCCGGCAAGTGCCCGAGACGCGGTCGAGAGGGACAACGATGTGTTGATTTCTGCGCTGGAGAAGTGGCTAGTAGCGCTGATGCTGCCATGGTGAGAGTATTTGTGCCGCTCTTGTGAAGTATCTTGGGTCAAGTGAATCATGGCTTGTTTGAACGATAATGTTTCTAAGAGGAATCCAACAAAATGGATTCCAGACGATATTG